TTTCCTGGTTACTGTCGCTATGCGCCTGCATTTGAATATGTGTGTGTGTGTGTGTGTGTGTGTGTGTGTGTGTGTGTGTGTGTGTGTGTGTGTGTGTGTGTGTGTGTGTGTGTTTGCATACCAGTCATGCCTAACTGCGTGTTTGTCATGGCAGCAACAAGAAGCAACATGACACACACACACACAAACACACACACACACACACACACACACACACACACTTCGTAACTTCTGTTAATACTGGCCTGCAAAAGGTTACCATGGTAATGAGATAAGTGTGTGTGTCTGTCTAACCACTATTTATACAGTGTGTTTTTGTTTACCCAGAATCCTCGGTTTTATCAGTGAGCGATCTGATCTTACTGTTTGTATTCCTAAGTGGAACAAGGGACTTTTATTTGGATAATATGTTTTAACTTCCTTCCTTAAGTGTCGTTTACTCCATTTTATGTTATAGGAAAATATTTTTCACTAAACTGCATTTATTACATAATGCAGTTGTTATTTGTCCTGGTTATTTGTTGTTGTTCTACAGGGAAAACAATTGGAAAAAATAAATCATTTTTAATAATTTAGTATTTTTCTCAGATATTTTCCTCAACAGCAACTTTTTCCAGAACTTCCCAAAGTGAAATCCTGACGTTGAGCACGGTGGAGTTTAATCTGTCCAGGTGTCAGTGAACGCATCACAAGAGGTGCTTTTTAGGGCCTGGAGGTCTGAACGCTTCCCACAAGTCAGGACGAGTTCAAGGAATCGCAGGAAGTCACAAAACTGAAGCAGAAAGTGAAAAATGAAACCTCCTCCTGAGAGAATCTGGATATTCCCTCACAGCTCATGAACTCATGAAGTGAATGAATGTAAAAGAGGCCCAATTCTGCTTTTCGTGGTGTTCCCTCTCCTGAAGTGCGTTCTATAGGTTTTTAGTGCATATAAACGGTCTGAAAAGGCGAAGATCCCAAAGTTCCGGAACACAGTGACATCACTTTGGAAACCTCACACTCCTATTGGCTAACGCTCCAACACATTGTACGTGCTAAGGGGCGGGACATCTCTAAGCAGGTTGACCAATCAAAACAGAGCCGTCCAGCTAGAGTTCCCGTTAGCCGGTAATTACCGGACTATGACCGGTAAAATATGCTGAAGACCGGCAAATCTAAATCTCTCCGGTCAAAGCGTCCGGTCAAAATAATTTCCGTTTAACGCAATACCGCATCAGAACAACACACACTCTTCAGGTTAGAATATCACACGTAGCTATTTTAATTACCTCTCAAACTACCTAAACTAGTTATAGAATCTAGATATGTTTAGTTTTACTGTCGGGTCACTCATTACTGATCCGCGAGCTGCATGATACTGACGGGCTGTCAGGGGAGGGAGAGAGCGCTCCGTTTATTATTCCCGTGTTATTGCAAGTTACTGAACACTTTTGAATAATGTAGTTAATCTACTATAATTAGTTTGTTTAATATCGAATTATATCAATTTGT